CGTTATCACTTATCCTCGCGACTTTTTCACCTTCCTATTCCCCGGCCACTCTGAAACTTTGCCCCTCCATTGTTCGTCCAGAGGACGTCGCGAGAATCGAGACATCGCGCGCGCTTTCGAACCGTTCGATCCATGAGGACCGTGAACTACTAAAGAGAGAGAGAGAGGGAGAGAGAGAGAGAGGCGAAACGCCTTGCGCTCGAGAGAGATGGATGGATGGATGGAGAGAAATGGAGCGTGAAATTACAGACGGATATAAAGTTTCTGGGATGTGGAGAAAGAGGGGGAGGAAAAAAGAAAGCTGAGCTTCCTAGGAGAAGGAATTCGTTTGAGGGAGGGTTGATTTAAAAAAAGAATTCTGCGTTAATTTGACATCCATCGAAATTTAATTACAATTATGCAGTGATCTAGTTTTCTAACAAAGGGGAGGGGGGTTGATATAGGAAGCTAGGAAGCAATTTCTAACGCAAACTAATTAATTGTTTCGTCGATATTTTGGGCACATCGTAGGCTATGCATCATAATTCGAGAAAAAGATTTACAAATGTATGACTTGGCTTATTCGATTCAAGATTCAAGTGAATATTTCTGTTGAATAACTGCAATACTCGTAAACGAATGTAATCCACGTTTAAGTCTCGCTATTTCGTCTTTAATATCGAGTCCAATAATGAATGTTTGGCGAATTGATAACGCAATTGCGACCCTCAACGAGCTTACTTGACCGTTTGGAATTGCTCTTAATGAACGTATATCCAATCGATCTATCGATATATATATACAGTTTCCAATATATACATATACATTATCGCTCAAAATTATCCGGAAACGTATTTACCTTTCACAAGATTTTGTATTTTGAAATTAGAAGAATGATTATTTTATTCTCTTGAAATAAACCTTCTATCTCTAACTCATCCTTAATTCTCATCATACTTTAATAAAAATTTAAATATCGTTGTTCAAATATTGATATAAGAATATATATATATAAGAAATAAATAAATATATAAGAAAATTGATATAAGAAATTGATATAAGAATAAAGATAGAAGTCAAAAAATATCCAATAAGAGCGTAACGAATTCGTGAATTCGATATATTTCCTCGCATAAAAATACTGACAACAACAACATTACAATTTCACGCGCATACATTCAACCTCGATGAACGATGCAACGCTCCGATATATATTTTCCCGCGCACAGAAATAATGGAATGGAGGGAGGAAGAAAGGCGACACGGAGAGGGAATAGAAGGATGGAGATGAGTTTGAATTTGGCCCACGCCTCGTTAATTTTTCGCCCCGTGTCACTGCATTGTTTGCCCGGGGAGAAGAGAGTGTTTATTGCCCGCAGCTCGAGACGAAAGTCGACGGGTTGCCTTTACGTGTTCTTCTTTTTTTTTTATTTTTCTTTTCGAGTGCACGCGATTCGTACAATCATGGATCTCCTCGAGCATTCTCGTTTTAATGATTCTGATCTAACAAGTTGCGCGTCCGTATATATATGCAAGGATTGCTCGAAATGATCGTGAGCCAACGCTGTCAGTGTTCGACGAGCGAGATTTTTTATTCGACGGAGGGATGATGGAAGGAGATGGAAGATAATCGATCGATCGAAAACGTTTATATGCAAATTTAAATATCAAAATTAATAATAATTCTATTTTATAGGAAGCAATGTAAGTATATCTATTTATACATAGAAAAAAAAATGATGTGTTATTAGAAAATAATATATCAAATCAATGATTATTTTCGTAATGGTATGGGATAGAGCAGGATTTTAAACTGTAAAATATATTATATTATAGAGTTATAATGCTTTGTTATCTTTTTATAAAAAATACTTTCAGGAATATGAAAAAGAAAAATTTGAGAATTTATTTCGTGTATATATAGATTTTCCTCAAAAAAATAAATTCCTCTGAGTAATCTGTTGTCCACCATATATGAATTTTCATCAAAATCAAATTTTTGTAGATAGATGAATTTCCTTTTAAGATAACGTAGAAGATTTTATGAGTGATCGTATATACAGGATTTCAGCAATTTTCGAGGTTCCATTAAGTATGGCTGAGACATTAAGTATACATAAAATATACTCGATTATTCGTTGAAGGAATTGATGACTATTTCTGTCAATTATCGGATCCATTATTGATCGATGCGTATTAAGGTATTTGCTTTCGTAGAATGAATTTTAATGGAAAATTTCTCATCTCATCAATTTCCTAAATGAAGCTCGAATATATCGCGATCTTAATTATCGAAGAATTAATTTGTTTTTCTCGATGTTATACGTGTTATATTTAATGTCTCATAAACGAGAGGCAAACTATAAATAGAAAATAGAATATTATCTGTACGTATATTCTATTAAACATCGTTCAAATGTTTGAGAAAAAAATATTTGAGATAATCCATTGAACAATCCATTATCTTTTGAAATACTATAAGTTAATTACATCGAGAAAAATTTTAATTTTAAAAAACATCGAAAAATTTTTGTCTGGAATTTTTATTTATTCGTATTTATCCAGATATTTGAGCGTTTCCAATTATACTATGTATATGTATATGAATATATTAAATATCGATTGACATAGTTTCGTGGGAAAATTATTACGGAAAAGAAATTAATATATCTCAAAGATTGCCGATAAATACGCCCAGCTGGTGAAAATAAAATTTTTATACTTTTCCCAGGATTAAAATATCCTGAATACTTCTCACGAAAGTTAATTAATATCAAAGTAATTAGCAATTAATAAAGTTTCGAGATAAGGCAAATAATATTTTACATCGTAACCCGGTAATCCTGAAAATATATCTTGCCAACAAGATGAATGAAACTTTGAGCATCGACTGGAAGAGGAGGAATGTCGATATTGTCCTCGATGAATCCATTTATAGAATAAAATAGGACAGTCTGTGTACGTATAAGCGACTACTATATTTACAAGCCAAACAAGATATCCTGTTCAATCAATGTTTCGACCCGCGTATAATAAAAATAAATTACGAAATAAAAATAAAATTCTCGAAACGGAATTCCTCTTTAATATTTATTCATGAAAACGTTTAAAACAAAATAAAGTCAATTTACAAAACGATCATTTCGTTTTCTCCCATTAATTATCGCGATATTCGGTCGACTTTCGAGCACATATATCCCGCCAATTCTTCCACGATACGTTCGCATTTCCCTCCTCGTCGAGGATCGAACTCGTTCGCACTCGAACACGTGCGGACGCGTGTCGCCGAACAAACGAGCCAACTTTGATTCGCATCACACACCCTCCACGAGGACGCTACGCAACGAAATTCCAGCATCGAAACCTCCTCCTCCTCGATGAAACATCCCTCGAAAAGGAGGGCCATTTCCATCAAGGAAATTATTCTTCTGTATCGAGAAGACGGAGTGTCTCCTCGAAAGGACGGCCGTTCGTTTGTTCTGGGTCAAACATCACGAGCGTGTGTGGAGCTTTCTTTGTGGTTGTTCGGCGGGGATGAAAAAAAATGATAAGAAGGAAGGGAGGCGCGTCATTTTCCGGATGTAATCGTGACCTAATATCTATCGAGTGCTCGGAGAGAAAATTAAATTAGACGTCGACCGATCGATACGAATCCTCCCCCCGCCGATGGAAAATGTTTAATTACGTATTGCTCACGGGGAAAATGGTAAAACTAGGTGGTCGATTGGTGTAACTCGCTCGTCGTTAAGTCATAGACGTGAATTAATGCCGTGTAGCCCGCGGTATACGCGAAATGGAATTCTCGTTGCGCTCGAAAATCACTTTGCAAACTGTAACAATATTATCGTTAATTGCCACCTTGCGTTCCGACAACCGGGCGCGACAAGAAAGTGGAAAAGAAAAGTGGAAAGTTCGTTAACGAAACAGCTATTCCCGAATCTAAGTTGAATGAAGCGTGAAGAAAACTTTGGAAACTCTTCGAGCAGGCACTTTACACCCTATTTTAATTATGTTTTTCACCAAGGAACAACAGATCGACGAGCAACCCCTTCGAGCATTTCATCGAAAAGCGTGAAAATGGTCGTTGGAAGAATTTCCTTGCGTTTCGATATTATACAGGTTTTCTTTTTTTTTTGTCGATAAGGCTCCCCCCTGGCCTGCACAATTTCACCGTCTAATTGCGATTTTAAATGTTTGCGGCGAAATGTATCGTTGGCATGCTCGTTCCCAATTAAAATCGACGAGGAACAATTTTCAAACAAGTGGCAGAGGAAATAGAAGTGCACATAACGAGTAAAGGAACCAACCGCGTAATAAATCAAACGAATTGGAGAACTCCAATTATCGTAAACCTCCATCGCGGAAAATTTTAACTGGAACTTCTTTATGTACGGGTAAATGTATTTCGCGTTTATCCAATAATATATTCCAACAATTCTCTTATCTAAATAGAATTTCTGTTACTTGGAATTGTACCACGATGATACCACATTTAATCCGAATCAATATATTCGATCGATACAAGATGTTAAAGAGCATCCACTTTATAAATATTCGAAGAAGGGAGAAAAGTTTGATGAAATATAGCTGTGGCAAAAACGAGCATAACATAAAAACTAACTGAAAATGGAATAATTTTCAATCGCAAGAACAATTAAATTGCAATAAAATTTTCTCATTATTTAATTATTGAATCGACAAAAATTTAATTCCCTCCATAATGGAAAATTCTATTACTCGTATTCCTATTAATTTAAATTCCAAGAAAAAAAGTTTTAGCCGAGATTAAACAGAATCCTTTCTTTAAAATTTACTCTCTATAGTTTTCAAAAAAATTTCGACTCTTATCCCAAACGTAAAACTCTTTGAGCATGGGGTTCAAAGAAAGAAGGGAGAAACAATAGTTTCGCGCAAACTCGCCAAGTTCGGGTCGACCAAACGGGGTTGACCCGAGTAAGAGCTTCGCTCTCCTACCTTGTAATTATTAATTCACACGATAAGCGTTTTATAATGCAACTCACCGTTATTAATCGCGGCGAAAGCGACGGCGCTGAGCAGCCATGCAGCCACGCTGATGGCGGACATCTTCGTTTCCCTCGTTGCAAGTTTCACCTCACATAATACGTGCCCGTTGGACGTTGGGACGAGCTGGAAAGGAGAACGGACACATTGTATTAAAACCGTGTACGTGCGCCCCTAAGATATTGCACGTTCGCCTCTCGTGCGTTCGTAATCTTCGTAGAAGAGGCGACCGTTTCCCTAATATCAAGTTGGATACACTTGACGTGACGTATGCGCGTTCCCACGGGGCTAGTAATAAACTAATTTTTCACTTAACGCTAGATTTATATCCGCCACGTTAAAATGTAACGTGGAAATGTATTGTTGGCAGATTTCCTTTATTCGTCTTTCTTGCGTTTTAAAAATACATTTACAGGGGAAAGTTAAGAGGCGAATATATTTGTAAATTTCTACTTTTCATTCTATGAAACTAATATGAGAAGGGATAAGTTTCTTTTTCGAATAAATGCTTGGTAAAAAAATGTAAGGAAATTTGTTTCTTTATCTAAATTCAGTAGTAATAAATACTTGTTTCACTTCTCTCTTCATTTCATTATGTTTTTAATATTTTTGAGATCGAATAGATAAAGAAAAATTATTTGCATTTATAAAGATGAATTATTCATTGTTTTATCCATTGGATACTTATGGAAAATTATAAGAAAGGAGATTTTGTTTTTTGAATTTTTATAACTTTATTTCTTATATCAAAGATATCAATTATTTTGCGCGGCATAGACAAATAGATAAAAATGAATAATAATGAAAAAGCCAAGCTATTCCATCAAATTTTTCTATCTGCTTGAAAAATAGCATGAACCAACCAATTTTAACGAACACTCGGAAACGAAAATCGCTCGATAACGAAGTAGGTCACAAGTTTACGCAAACTTTATTACTCCCAAGTTTTATATTCACCTTGGGAGCGCACCATACGCATAATATTAAGGTATATTAATATACGGAGCAACAAAATATCCTCGTCACAAAGGTTGTCTCGAAGCTCGATCGATAAAACGATACCCATTCTTCAAAGATAGCAACAACCCATCAAGCAACGTAATCGCTCAACAAACATCCCCTTGAAAAGTTCTACGATATCCTCCTCCCTCTCTCATTCCTCGAATCTCATTACCCTTCCTCCAAACCAATTCGAGAAGCGGCTCATCATTTTTTTATATAAACCAAAAAAATAGCGAACGTCCTTCTTCAACCCTTGCAAAATGGTTGGCCAGGGTTCTCTCTGACTCCTGCCCTGACCCTCTTCGCGACGAGGTCCATTTATTCGAATCGCACGCGACGAGACAAGATCCCTTTGACAGGGTGCAACGGGGCCAGAGAGGAGGAGTTAGAAACAGCATAGGAGAGGCGCGACAATGGAGGAGAGATGTTAGAGAAGAAGAAAAAATAGAAACATGGAATTAGGAAAAGGGAAACGAATAAAGGGAGAGGGGGATGAGAGAAGGGGAGAAGTAGATGGAGACAGACTTGAGAGAGAGAGAGAAAGGGGAGGAAAAAAGAGAAGAGGGAAGAAGGGAAAGCTATCACTCTATCCGTCCCGTCTACTTTCCTACAAACCTGCACACAACTCAACCAACCCTTCAGATGCACGTTTCCCGCTAGTTCTCGGCTCCTTTCAACCGGCTTTTACTTTATGCGCTAGTTGTACATGGACTTTATACGTATATCGTCGCGCACCGTGTGCCACGAAAACCCGAAATTCCGCGCGCCGTTTCGCGCATTCGTTTACTCAAAATTACGCCGAACCACATTTCTTTGTTAACGAACATCCTTGCGAGCTTTTTCTTTCTTTTTGATTGATCATTAAATACCATGTTCGCCATTGTTTAAGGAGAAACGATATTGTCCACGTTAGAAAAGTGAAATTAAAATCGAAAAGATGTGTACAGTATTAGTGGATTAAAAGTTTTTATCTTTTGTAGTTATGTTTAAATATGGTATAGTCATATTTTCTTATTGTATATGTTTATAATGCTGTTTTTTTTTT